ACAGAAACGTATCTGAATCAGTTTATCTGGAGAAACGGAGCTTTTGGACTCTCCGAGTCAATTAAATCAATTGATTCACAAAATGATTCAGTGATTCGAAGACGCTGCCGACACCTGCTGCTCGAAACAACAAACACACAGTAATACAATCTACAAATCAGTGCCAAATATAATCGTATTACAAATATGAACCCTTTATGTTGTGTCCTTTTATTTGGTTTTTTTCTCATGAGGTGATTTAAAGGGACAGTTCACCCAAAAATGAAAATTCTGTCATCATTTACTCATCCTCAAGTAGTTCCAAACCCGTATGAATGTCTTTGTTCTGCCGAACAGAAAGGGAGATATTGTGAAGAAAGTTTGTAACCAGGCTGTTTTGGGGCACCATTGACTTCAATAGTAGGAGAAAAAAATACTATGGAAGTCAATGGTGCCCCAGAACTGCTCTGTTTCTCGCATTCTTCAGAATATCTTCCTTTCTGTAATCCAGAACAAAGACATTCATACGGGTTTGGAACTACTTGAGGATGAGTAAATGATGACAGAATTTTCATTTTTGGGTGAACTGTCCCTTTAAGTCCATTAACTCAAGTGTGCCGACTACTGAACTAGGGAGATTTACTTTGGACGTCTTTCTTTCTGTTAATTATTCTCATCTTAAAACAGGACAAAGTGTCCAAACACTGAAAAACTCCTGCTGAATCATCCGAGATCGTGACACACTGTTATAAAGATGGCGTTTATTAAAGAGGAGAGAGAAGACATGAAGATTGAAGAAACATTCAGAGTCAAACATGAAGATACTGAGGAACAAACAGGTTGGTTTCATTCTTCAAAGCTGAACTCACTCATCTGATCCTTATTTAAATGTCCAGCTCTACAGAAAAATAGTACAGAAGTAGTCTGAACAAAATCGTTATTTTGTGTAACATTAAACCCCCCGCCCCCCCCCCCAAAAAAATCCAATGAAAACCATACATTTCTATCACTTAATTATGCAAAAAATCTAACAAATGTGAGTGAATGTTAAGTGTGAATGACTGCCTTCACGTTTCAAAATCAATAAGTTATCTCTACTTATTACACAATAAAAGCATTTAAATGAAAGGATTTACACAATTCTCACATACAAGGATTCACCAAACACACAAGTGCAACCAGACTTCATTTTGTTCAATATTACAAAAAGAAACGATTAGCAACAGTTCGGTGATGAAAGGGGATACAACAGGTTTTCAAGTGGTGCTCCCTACATACAGTCGCGGTCAGAATTATTGGCACCCTTGGTAAATATGATCAAAGGAGGCTGTGAAAATAAATCTGCATTGTTAATCATTTTGATCTTTTATTTAAAACAATTCACATAAATCTAACCTTTCATTGAAGAATAAGAATTTAAAATGGGGGGAAATCTCATTATGACATAAATGTTTTTCTCTAATACACATTGGACACAATTAACGGCACCCTTTTTTTCAGTGCTTTTTGAAACCTCCATTTGGCATAACAACAGCTCTGAGTTTTCTTCTATAATGCCTGATGAGGTTACAGAGCACCTGACAAGAGATCAGAGACAATTCCTTCATCCAGAGTCTCTCCAGACCCTTCAGATTCCCAGCTTTTCCTCTTCAGTTCACCATCTTCTATAGGGTTCAGGTCAGGGAACTGGAATGGCCATAGCAGAAGCTTGGTTTTGTGTTGTTTTTAAGGTTTGTTTTTGGATTATTGTCCGGTTGGAAGATCCAAACATGGCCCATTATAAGAGTCAGTCACTTTTTGATTTTTTTATCTGTTGGTTTTTGATAGAATCAAAGATGCCGTGTATCTAAACAAGATGTCCAGGACCTCCAGCAGAAATATATGCCCACAACATAAAAAATACAGCAGTATATTTCATTGTACACATGGGGTACTTTTTATTCCTGTGTAAATAGCTCATTTTTTTTAGTTACATCTGAGCATAGAAGCCAGTCCCATTTGAAGTTCCAGTCGTGTCTGACAACAGAATATGCTGGAGTTTGTTTCTGGATGAGAGCATTTTCTTTTCTTGAAACCCTCCCAAACAACATGTGGTGTAGGTGCTGTTTGATTTTTCTTAATTATTGCCCTGATGGTGGGAATGGGAATTTTCACTGCTCTAGCTCTTCCTTGGAGAGTCTTTAGCCACTCAAACTCTCCTCCTCACCGTGCATTAGGACGTTATAGACACACGTCCTCTTCCAGACAGTTTTGTAACATTTTCTGTTGATTGGAAATTCGTAATTATTGCCCTGATGGTGGGAATGGGGATTTTTACTGCTCTAGCTCTTTTCTTAAAGTCACTTTCTAATTTGTGAAGCTCAATTATCTTTTGCTGCACATCAGAAATATATTCTTTGGTTTTTCTCATTGTGATGGATGATTAAGGGAATTTGGCCTTTGTTTTCCCTCCTATTTATATTCCTGTGAAACAGGAAGCCATGGCTGGATAATTTCATAATCACCCTGGTATGCTCTGAATTGTAAATACGAATGGGAATATACTTTATAAATAATTATAATAAATAAAATATCTGTAAATTTTAGGGGTACCAATAATTGTGTCCGTGTATTTGAGAAAAAACATTTATTTCATAATGAGATTTTCCCCCATTTTCAATTGTTTTAGTTCAATGAAAGGTTAGATTTATGTGAATTTTTTAAATAAAAGATCAAAATGATTAACAATGCAGATTTATTTTCACAGCCTTCTTTGATCATATTTACCAAGGGCGCCAATAATTCTGACCACGACTGTATGTGAAGCAGTGATAATTTAGATTTAGTCTTAGTCAAAGTTTTTTTTACTAAAATGCCATTTAGTTTTAGTCATATTTTAGTCATCTGATTTATTTTTAGTCTAGAACCTCTTTCACACTGCACGTTGGTCCCGGAAAATTGCCAGAGTGATTTCTGTGTGAACACAAACATGTCCCCAGTGTGTATGTGAAGTTTTAGCTCAAAATACCCAACAGATAATTTTTTATAGCTGGTTGAAATTGCCACTTTTAGGGTATGAGCCAAAATGCACCGTTTTTGTGTTTGTCCCTTTAAATGCAAATGAGCTTGTTCTCCCGCCTCCCTTTTCAGAAGAGCTTCAAGAGCTCATGCTCTGGCAAAACAGGACAATTATCACTGATTGTACTGTGCAGTAAATGCGCATTTATTAATTACACAGACGGGAAGCACGGCGCGATAAAAATAACGACATAGCTGGTCTCATGGTGCCATCGCGTGCTATATGAGCTCGACAAATTCAAGCGGTCAACTTTTCATATGCAATTTTTAACTAACGTTACCACATTCCTATTTACGATCATTCTGGTAGCACGTGGAAATGGCATCAGTGAAAACAGGCAGAGACAATGGTAGCTTTAGCAACATTGGGCCCAGATCACACCGAACGCATTTTCTAGGTCTGAAAACGTGAGGCGCACACTGCTTTTTTTTTTTGGTGACTTAGTGCACTCCGTTTTTTTATGTTGCTAGGCAACCACCAAATCAGCTGTCCTGCGTTTACACTTGTCATTAACATGCGTCCTGTATCCAGATGTTGTCCACATACGCATTGAAAAGACAAGTGTAAACGTCAAATAGTCCCTCCCTAACATTTTCGCCTCGTTTTTATTCATTGCCGAAAGATTTTCGTCATGTTTTAAATGACAAAAACTGAGTTTTTTATTCATTACAGTCTCGTTTTCGGCGGGGAAAAATGTCATAGATGAAAATTATTAATCAACGAAATTAACACTGATGTGAAGCACTTTGAGTGTCAAGAAAAGTGCTCTATGAATGTTATGAGAATGGCCTGCCCAGTCACCTGAAATAAATCCTATTGAACTGCTCTGGGATAAACTGAATCAAAGGTCAAAAAGAAATATCCAACTAGTGAAGAAAACCTTTGCAAGTTTTAGCTTTGGCAAGAGACATGGTAGAGTACTTGAGCTGACTGATTGGAGAAACTAACTTTCTGAATGCCAAGAGTGTGAAAAGCAGTTATAGCTGCTAAGGGAGGATTTTTCAAAGAAAATAAAGTTTAACGTTTAATACATTTTTATACCAATATCTGTACAAATATTATCTGCAATAATATATCTGCATATAAACAATAAGAACATGTTGGTGTCTCTCAAAAATGGTGAAACCGTCCAAACTTTTTACAGACACTGTACACTCTGCTAACAGAGAGACTTTATTAACTACATAAACACTTAAAGGGGTCATATGATGCGATTTAAATTTTTCCTTTCTCTTTGGAGTGTTACAAGCTCTTGGTGCATAAAGAAGATCTGTAAAGTTGCAAAGACTAAAGTCTGAAATCCAAAGAGATATTCATTATAAAAGTTAAGAGTCAACCATGCCTAAAACAGCTCGTTCTAACACGCCCCCACATGTCTACATCACGATGTGGGAAGATTTGCATAACGCCGCCCAAATGTTCACGCAAAGAAAGAAGGCGTAACTTTGTATCTCGCTGTAGTATTGTTGCCGCAGCCATGTCGTGAAGGCGCTGTGTTTCGTTGTGAAATCAAAACTACTTTGTTTGGTCTTCCAAAAGAGGACACAACTAGAAATCAGTGGTTAAGTTGTATTTACAACACTGTTCCAGAACACTTCAACCCAAATATTCAGATGTGTGCAGCACATTTTATGGAGGACAAGGACTGTTTCCTGGGAGAGTGACTAAAATGCCGGCAGTACTGACTCACAGCCTGTAAGTACGTTTTCATATTTAAAGGATTTGCCACTGACGATTCAAA